AGCGTGAGGAGGCGCCGTGGCACCGCAGCGAGGCCACCCCCGCTTCCCACCGCAGCGTCACGCTGAGGATCGCCGACCGAGCCAGCTCCCAGGGCTTTGGCAGCCCGGAGCTTGGCGTTGTCTGGAACAGGCGGACCCCCCCACCGCACTCAGGAGGGAAGCGTTTCCAGCAGGCTGCTGCCCAGGCCCTCCAGAGACAAAGCCGCGAGGCACCCGCCGGAGGGTCCAGCAGCGGCGGCAGCTCAGCCGACAGCATCAAGCTGGAGAGCATAAGGAGGAAGCTCGAAGCTGCCATAGCCGCCGAGGTAGGTGTCCTGGAGGAGGAGGAGAAGCGCATCAAGGAGCTGCAGATACAGCTGGCAGAGGCTAAGGAACGCCGCCGGGCCCGTCGTGCGAGGGATGCCGGCAAGCGCGAGGCGGAGCAGGCGCGAGCCGGGCATCCCCGCCGGGCCAGCTCAGAACCCCCCAGCGGGCAGAGCGCGGCCACCCCTCTTGACCCAGCCTGGGAGGACGAGACCCCGCTGCCCTCGGCCATCCTGGATGGGGAGAACAAGTGCCACGAAGCGGAGTGCATCCTGAACAACCTGCTCGGGGTCTCAGCTGACGATCCCACAGGACCCGATCGGAGGAGGAAAGCCCGTGAGCTCTTGATCGAGGGCATCAGCTCCATGTTCGAGGATCTACCGCGGAGCTGGACCGGTACCCCCTACGAGGAGCAGGGCGAGATCGCGAGCGAGTACGTTGACATCCTCGAGAGGCTGACCCGCAAGATGGTGAAGGCAGGGGAGCTGGACGACATCCCCGCGAAGAAGCGCCAGAGGATCGTGTACGAAAAGGCGGAGGAGGAACCTCCGAGCGACGACGCGGACTCCGCCGAGAGCTCGGAGGACGAGGTGGTGGAGAAGCCGTACGCGAGGACCGAGGAGGGACCAGACCCCCCCCTCCCAGAGGACCCAGATCCTCTGAGCCTCTGGCCTGGGCAAGCAGAAGCAGCCAGGCGGAGCAGGGAGGAGCCTTTTCAGAGCTCTCCTGGGGCCAGCGGCAGCGGAGGCCCCGCCCCCGCTGCAGGCGCAAGGCCACCGCCGAGCGCACCCCCGCCGCCCGAGGTACTGGAGACCCCCTCAGACCCAGCCCAGCATCAGAAGAGCAGACTCCCCGCCACGATCCCCCAGAAGGCAGCGCCCACGAGGCGAAGCCGCTCGGCAATGACGGTCGTGGAAGCAGTCAGGCGGGCCGCAGGCAGGTCGACGACCTCCAGCGGAGACCCCCCCACCGGGAGGGCAGACGCCGGCAGCGCAGGGACGTCTGGGGAGAAGCTCACACTCAGGCCCAAGCCGAGATCGTTGGGTGCCCAGCTGCGCGCCACCTCCAAGGGGGAGCCATCGCAGCCCAGACCCCGCCAAGACGATCCAGCAAGGCCACTCGTGCCCCCGGACCACGCAGTCCGACCACTGGTGAGGCCTCCGGGGTGGCGCCCACTCCTCCCAGGGCAGATCTGCAGACCGCCTGGCATGCCGCCGATGATGCGGCCCCCTTGGCCGTCCCCTCCACGGGGAGGCCGCTGTGGGGGACCCCCTTTGGGGGAGGCGCCGGCGGCACCAAGCGGGGGGAGGGCGCAGGAGGAGGCGCGTGCCTACGTCAAGTGGTGCGCGGACCACCCCACCTTCCAGCCCGAGAAGGTGCCAGAGGTCGTGAAGCGGGGCAACTCACTCCTCTGTCTCGCCGGCAGCATCGAGAGAGCTGCCGAGTTGCTGAAGCACGCGCGGGAGGAGGTCCATGGGAACCCGTTGGGCGGCATACTCCAGGAAGACGTGCAGAAGTCCTTGGACCCGCACCACGCCGCCTACCTCCGGGCAATGGCCACCGGGGGGGTACCCGTGCGGCGCACGGAGGAGCGGGCGGGCACGCAGGCCAAGTCGCACTCCTCGGCGGTGGACCACGCGCTGGAGATGTTCGAAAAGGCCTGGAAGGACAGCCGCTACGGCGTCGTCCTCTGGGCCTCGGACGAGGTCGAGGATGTGCTCGCCGCCTCGGCGCTGGTCGAGTCGCCCAGCGGGAGGGTCCCCAAGATGTTGCCGGATCGGACCATCTCGAAGGAGGGCCGGCCGATCCACGACATGCGGGCGGCCAACGCCTTCTCCCCGAAGGAGCAGCACCCGCCAGCGAAGCAGCCCCTCCACAGGGGGCTTGCGAGGCTCAGCCTCTGGTGGGAGGCGAGGCACCCGGGCGTCCAGCAGGTGGTGGCGAAGCGCGACGTGGCCAGGGCCTTCAAGTGGCACCACCTGGAGCCAGCGGCCGTGCCAGAGTTCGGGACGACGCTCCCGGGCAAGGAGGTCGGAGTGCCAGGGCGAGTTATCTTGATCCACGGCGTGCTGGTCTTCGGCTGGGCCGGCAGCCCAGGCGAGTACATGGCGTTCGCCTGGGCGGCCAAGAGCGAGCACGAGAGGAGGAAGCCGCCGGCGCCCAGGATCAACGATACCGTCAAGTACGCCTCCAAGTGGCTCATGGACGACGGGGTTGTCCTCGAGCCGCTGGTGGGCCTCCGACCCTGGCTCTCGGCCGAGGAGCTCGACGGGGCCATGAAGCGAGTCTGGGGCCCGGACGCAGTTAACGAAGAGAAACTGGACGTCGAGGGGGAGTTTGCGGCAGAGCAGCTGATCTGGGGCCTCCACATGAACTTCGACACGAAGGTGGTCAGGCTCCCAGAACCCAAATGCATCAAGGCTCAGTACCTGCTCGCACTCCCGGAGCTCAGAGGATCAAGGCGGGTCCCCCTGAAGGTCGCCCAAGAGCTGCGAGGCTGTGCCCAGTTCTGGGCTTCAGCACAGCCGGCCCTCCGCCCCGAGCTCCCTGCCCTGGACCGGCTCCTGAGCAGCGGGACGAGCTGGGCAGAGCCGAAGGGTACGCCTGAGGAAGTCGAGCTCGCCTGGGAGGAGTGGGACGCGTCGGTGGGGATTCTGAGGATGCTCTTCGACGTCCCTGAGGCTTGGAGCACGACCTTCCAGGCCAGCTTCACGCAAGCTCTGTCGGTGCGCGAACGCCTTGCACTGCCGGGAACAGCACGTACCACGCGGTGGACAGGCGGAGATGCTACTACTTCCTCGATTGGTGCCATCGACTGGGGGAGCGCAACTGCCGAGGGTGCCACGCCGACGCCGGAGTACATGGCCGCGGACGCCGGACCACTGCTCGAGGCCCTGAGTCACGCGGTCGGAGGCGAGAGCAGCGAGGAGGACTGGATCATAGCGGTGGTTGAGCTGTTGGCGGTGGTCGCGTTGGCCACGAAGCAGGGCTCGAAGTGGGAAGGCGAGTTGGTGTTCTACGTCACGGACAATCAGAATGTAAAGGCATGGCTCACCAAGAGAAGCCCCAAGAACGCCCTTGCCCGCCACCTGATCCGTCTGGTGGAAAGGGTCGAAGCCATGCACGGGTGCCGCATCGTCTCATTCTTTGTTAGGACCTACCACAACGAGGTGGCTGACTGGCTTACTCGCGAAGAGGTCAAGAAGGTTCACGACACGGTGGCCACTTCAGGATGGAAGCGCCTAGAGCCTCCCGCAGCCTGGGGCCAGATACTAGAGGACGCCAAGGAGCGCCTTCTCAGACTCCCAGGGGAGACGGGCCCCGTGGCCGAGGCCGCCCTTCGACACCGGGCACTTCAGCGAGGGCCTGGGCTGCCGAGGACTCTCCCGCTCCGCGGGAAACTGGGCCGAGAAGTGGGGAGTCTCATCAACCCGTACACGAAGGCCTTCAAGCGCCTCGGGGGATCGGAGCCCGAGGAGAACCAGAAGGCAGGATGGCTCATGGCGTCGCTGTCCCTGGACCCCAAGGGCCGAGAGATGGAGGCTTTCCTCGTTGCAGCAACCCAGGAGAGCCCTGAAGTGGTGGTCGTGGACGCCCCGACCGGGGTAGACACAGCCAGGTTCGAGAAGGCACTCAAGCAGCTGGGCTACATGATCTCGAAGTTCGAGGTGGTCTGCACGCACCACGGGGACGCCACAACGCGGACCAGGCGGGTGCTCGTGGGCGGGCGTCGGAAAGCGGGAGTGGGCCTGGCGTGCATTAACATGCCGCCGGCCTGCTCGCGAGCTGCCAGCGTCAAGCCACTCCTGGACAAGGGAAAGGACCACCTCTGGCTCGACCAGCAGGGCGAAGTGTCGTGGGACCCCCGCATCCAATCCACCAGCGACCCCCTCCTCCTCAAGCCGGTCGGGCACCTCAAGAAGGATGGAGTGAAGCACCTGATCTACAGTGAGGAGGGGCCGGTGGGCACCATCCGCTGGCCAGGGGCAGAACTCCAAGGACCCGGAGCGACGCTCCTCCGTGTCACCGGAGGGGGCGGGGGCACGGTCCGCGCCCTGACACCCCAAGAGGTTTGGCGAGTGCAGGGAGGGACCAACGACGAGTGGACCCACCTGCGAACCCAGGGCTCCACCGAGGACGAACTCCTGAAAGGCGCAGCCAGGGCGCTCCCGCCGAGGACCGCGGAGGCGGTGCTGGCCGCGGTGACAGAGGCGCTCGACAACACCAGCACGCAGCGTGCCGGGGTATGCCATGATCCAGAGGAGCAGGCCGCGTGGGAGGCCACCAAGCGCTGGTTCCGCGCCTGGGCACAGGCACCGGATCAGCCCGCACTGGCGCTGGCAGCAGAGGATGAGGCGAGGGCCGGAGGAGCGCTCACCGACGAGATGCACAAGAATCGCCGGCGTGCCCAGGCAGTCCGCTTCAAGATGATCGACGAGGACACGCTCATCGGACCCCGCGAGGCCCCAGCCGCCGAGAAGGTCCAGCTAGACAAAAGTGTAACTCGCTCGAGGAGCCCTCGTAAAAAGAGCCCTCGACGTGACAAAGAGATGCCAGCAACCAACTTGGTGAGGCCGCAAGCGCTGGGCGTAGCTCGGAAGAACAACTACCCCGGGAAGGAGCTCGCCCCCGCCGGCCGTGCTGAGCCTGGCGGGGCCAACTACGCCGGCTGGTTCGCGCAGCAGAAGATGGAGGCCATGCTGCAGAAACTCAGCGAAGGCACAAGGGCAGGTTACGAGGGAGGATGGCGGCTCTGGGTAGCCGTGCGCCAGGCGCAAGGACTTAGCCCTTGGCTCCCAGGACGTGATCGCGAGGAGCGCCTGGCCGACGAGGAGGCGCTCGTCAACTTCGCCGTCCTCCTAGCGCGGGTCGTCGGGAGGACCGAGGGGACCATCAAGCAGAAGCTCTTCGCGGTGCGCTACGCCCACCTGGTGGCCGGCTACTCGGACCCCTTGCTCCACAGGGGTCGCCTCTTGAGCACGCTGGCAGGGCTGAAACGCTGGCAGGGATCCGAGACCAAGCGGAAGAAGCCCGTCACGCCAGCCATGCTCGAATGGCTCCGCGGCTTTCTCCAGCAGGAGGCCAAGCTCCCCGAGGAGGATGCAGTGGTCATCTGGGCGGCCATTGTGACAGCGTTTTTCTTCCTCCTGAGGGCCTCAGAGTACCTCCTCCAGGACGGGCGCTCGTGGTCCTTCGAGCGCGTGCTGCACGGGGAGGACGTAGAGCCCAAGAAGGAGGGGAAGCGAGTGGCCAGCTTCCAGGACGCCGACGAGATGGTGATCTACATCAAGGGCAGCAAGACGGACCAGCTCAACGTCGGGACGGTGAGGAACCACTACCGCGCCGGCACGACGCTCTGCCCGATCGCGGCGATGGAGCGGCTCCAGGCTCACCATCCTCAAGGGGCACCGAAGAACGGCTGCCCCTTTCCGCTGGGCGTCAGGTACACCGATCCGCAAGGCAGAGGTGCAGCACTTCCTGACGGTCGCGGGGCTGGCCGTCGGCCTCTCTAGAGAGGAGATCGGCAGCCATTCCCTGAGGATCGGCGGGGCGACTGCAATGTACCACGTGACCGAGGACCTCTCCCGAGTGCGCCGATTCGGGCGCTGGCAGTCGGGCGCGTTCCACGGCTACCTGTGGGAATCGCACGAGCCGATGAAGGGCATCTCCGGCAAGATGGCCAGGGACACCTCCTCGCTGACCAACCCGGCGAAGGACAACGCCCCCAGCAGAGCTGCCGCCGGCACCGAGAGTGCCAGGCGTGAGAGCCCATGAGGGGCCGCAGCGGGCGCCGCCGGTGCTGGCACACCTGGCGTGCGCCCAACCCAAGCCGCCGGCCTTCCCGCCGTGCGTGCTTGGGTGCAGCCACCAGCCACCTGCCCCGCCGGCGAGCAGCCGCGCGCTCGCAGAGTACACCCGCCTGTGCCTTCAGCACTGGCTAATACCTCACGGCAGACGCATGCGCATAGGCTCGTCCGTCAGGGCCCCACTAGTGCCTGGGATACTGTGGGTCCCCTTGCAGCCATGGACGAGGACCATGCTGGAACCTGCCTGGCACGCCGGCTCTCTATACCAAGCCTGGTCGTGCCGGGCATACTGACGTCAGCTGAGATACAGTAGCTGGCGATCTGACGGCCCAGTGCGACCGCAGCACTAGAATTCATGCGCAGGCACGGGCCCGCACCCCAGCGCCGGCCCGGGGAACCCCCTCTGTCAGGGGCCGGACCCTGCCCGCCCTGTGCACCTTGGGCACCTGTGGAGGCGGGGAGCCGGGAGATCTGGAGGCCGCGGCGCGGACGGGGGTGCCAAGTACCGGCCCGTGCCGAGCGCCAGCGATGACATCGTCGGGCCTCAGCCCGAGGTCGGGCTCCGCCGTCAATCAAGGCACCTGCGCGAGCCCAAGGCCTAGCCTCGCGGAAGACAGCCGCGCGCGCCGGCATCAGTTGCCTGGCGGCAGTCGGCAGACAGGAGGGCCAGCGGGGCCCCGCACGCACGCCGGCGCACACGCCAGGCGATGCGTGACTCAGTGCCTAGACGGTGCCGGCAGCACAGCGCGTGGCACCCAGTTTTGGCGACGCCCATCAGGGCGCCCACACAGCACGCCGGCGCGTAGAATCCGCCAGGCGGCCAGTGTGCAGGGTCACTGGCAGCAGCACCAGTATTATTATAACAAAGGCGGCGAGGCCCGCTTCGCGTGGCGGAAGGAGGGACCCGCCCGGCGTGTCAACGCCGGCGGGAGGAGCGTGCGGCCAGCGCAGCAGCAAAACGGGGGGGGGCTGCACCGCTGCCGCCATCATCATCGTCTTCTCCTGAGGGCCCGCTTCAGACCGCTTCGCGGCTGGCACGTCCCGCGGCCTTAAAGCAGGCCGCGCTTTCGCTAGCGCCGTACTCTGGGGGCGGGGTCTTAGTTGTTTGTCCTAAACGGTTGGACCCCGCCCTCCCCAGTCGGCTTGGGTTTTCTCCTCTCCCTGCTCTTGCCTCTGCCTGCCCGTCTCTTTCCCTCTCTCCCGCTCAAGCCTTCGGGGCTCAAATCCTTCCCAGGGGCCAAAGGGGCCCTCTTTTGCCCGCCCACCCTGGGCTTTGCCTCGGTGTCCAACGGCACTGGCGGCGAGGCCCGCTTCGCGTGGCGGAAGGAGGGGCCCGCCCGGCGTGTCAACGCCGGCGGGAGGAGCGTGCGGCCAGCGCAGCAGCAAAACGGGGGGGGGCTGCACCGCTGCCGCCATCATCATCATCTTCTCCTGAGGGCCCGCTTCAGACCGCTTCGCGGCTGGCACGTCCCGCGGCCTTAAAGCAGGCCGCGCTTTCGCTAGCGCCGTACTGTGGGGGCGGGGTCCCGCGGATTCCTCTCGAGTCTGGGCCTGCGGCGCCGGGCGGTCCGCAGTCGCAGCCCACGGGCGCGCGAGCAGGGCGCCCCAGGCAACGCAGCCCCCCCCGCAGACGGAGCTCGGGGACCAGAGAGCCACCGCGGCCAGGCAACCCCTGGGCAACACCTACGGGATGCATCAGCCTCACCACGAGGTCCACCCGTTGGTGTCAGGTTCGAAGCGCCGCCTTCTCCGAGGGTGCCTCTCCCACGGGATGCCAGCCCTGCCCCAGACGAGGAGGCCGAGCAAGGGGACTCCCTCGTACTGCGTGTACGAGTGCATTGGGCCGCCGGCCCGCAGTGGGTCATCTTCTTGGGGAAGTCCAGACCCGGAGGAGGGCCCACCGGAGATGGCAGCACGACCGTAGTAGACGTGGAGGAGCCGCGCTGCAAAGACCACTCTGCAGAGGGCCAGGAGAACGTCTGCTTCACCCTCAAGACCGCGGGGATCGAGTACGCTCCCGTCGCCAGCGACCAGGGAAGGCTCCCCGCCGGCTACCTTGAGGAGCTATTGCATCATCCTCCACTCGGTGCCGAGGAAATGGGGATCGGGGTGCACGGCGTCGTCGTGAGCAACACCATGTGGGAGAAGCTGCGTCCTTGGAACGGGGTCCCCGTGGGCGGGAAGAACAAGAGGATCGGCCGCCCTCAGTGGGCTCAGCTTCGGGCCCGCGGGGACTTGCTCGTGTACCGACATCCAGTAGGCACCTCCGGCGACGCCCCTGGAGCGCCGCAGCTCACCTCCGACGAGATGGACGTGCAGCTCAAGAAGCACTGGGCGAGGCTTGACCGCAGCAGCTCCCCCAAGCCCCCTTTCGGCGTCGGGTGGGGTCTGGGCGAGGAGGGTGATCCAGCCCCCTCAGTCCCTCGACGCTCTTCCCGCAGTCCCACAGGGAAGGCTCATGAAGAGGAGAACACCGGAGAGGCTATGCTGGGGCTGTACCTTGCGGCTCATGAGGAAGTGTCGGACGACGCCTCGGCGCTGCAGAGCGTGGCGGCAGGATACGATGAGGACGTCACCGTAGTCTTGGGGCACCTCATCAAGTACACCCAGCGCCTCATGCGCAGCAGCGGAACCGAGGAGCGGGCCAAGTACCAGGCGCACATCGACAGGTGGGAAAAGAAGTTGGAGCGGGTCCGAGCCGAAAAGACGAAGGTGTGAACCCACCCCTCGCCAGTGGCCTCTTGAAGCTAGACACCGAGCGCAGGCCCGACACCAGCCAAGAACCTGGCCAACCTGGAGCTCCCCCTGGACTGGACGCCGCCGCGAGTGCTCCGCCATTGCCGCTGCCGGCTACCCCGCCTGGCGTGCGCGTGCCGGGAGCTACTCGTCTTTCTCCGCCAGGTTTTATGCCCGGCCTCGTACCGAACCTCGGGCAGATGTTCACCAACCGGAGCGCCTACGGACACGGAGGACTGGTTAAGACCCCTGGGCAACCTGACCGTAGGTATGCCGCGGGAGCTGGAGAGGGCGAACCATCGGCCGCTTTCTCCACCTACGCACAAGTCCTCCAGAACGGTCAAGAGCAGCAGCACCTGGACAACATGCGGCTGCTGCAGGCGGTGGACAGCCTCCGCAGGTCCGGCGAGGAGAAGGTGGCGCAGCGGGGCACCCTCGGTGCCATCGGACGTGCCGAGGAGCTTGACGTGTACCTGGCGCGGGGCTGCGACACCCTCGACGTGGAGGTCTGCGGCACCCTGACCGGACGAGAGTTGTTCCATGGCCTCAAGCGCGCCTGCGAGCACGCGAAGCACGTGATGCAGGCGGTGAACTGGCCGACGACGGTGACGAACAGCATGGCGTACGGCATTGCCGCCTTCTGTTGGGGAGGACGGGGCCACAAGGATCTGGCCGAGTGGTCGATCTCCGTGGCTGACTTTCCCCATTGCAAAGCAGAGGTGTTCGACGCCTACACCATGCCCACCTCGTGCAAGCTCGAACCGCGCCCCCGGCACCCAGTCGTTTTCTCTCAGTGGGTGAGGCAGGCCGAGAACGCCATCACCGTCTTCGGGTTAGTCTACGGGCGGATGCACAAGCCAGAGAGGCGCCAGGCCCTGGAGACCCTGCGTCTTGCCTACGAGGAGGACGACGTGGCCTTCCCCGCTGATTATGTGTACAGCCTCTGGGAGGAGCTCGCCGCAACCTGGCGCGAGCAGCTTCGGGAGAAGCGGAGGGAGGTGTGCCGCATCCTGGGGCTCACCAACCCGCGCCGGGAGGACATCAAGACCATCGCCCTCGTTCCCACGGGGCCGTCTGGGAGTGCGTGGTTGACCTTTCCGAATGTATACGACCTCGACGCGCCGGATGGGTGCTACCAGGTAGTGTGCGTCCCGCGCCAGGCCCGGCGGCTGCAGAGGTTCCTCCACCAGAACCTCCACGCCGGCCCCTCGAGGACCCCCAAGGCCGGGAAGGCTGACGACCACGCCCCAGCAGATCAAGAGGCACCCGCAGGAGCTGGGCCAGGCGCAGGAAAGGCAGGGGCCGCCGTCAAGAAGGCTGCTGCCAAGAAGCGGCCCGCCGCCCGGGCGTACCCAGCGGGGAAGGCACTGACATCCAGCGAGATCGGGCGCTCGGTCAAGCACGCCCCCCGTGACAAGAACGGAAAGGTCATTTGCTGGGACGCCTGCACCAGGGCCGGCTGCCCCAAGGCGGCAGGGACCTGCGCCCACTCCCACGAGGCCATCAAGGGGCTTGGCAGCTTAGACTGGACCGTGCAGGCGCAGCGGCGTGGCGGCCTGAAGTCTGGCGCTAAGGTCGACCCTGCCTCGGTCGACGGGCGGGTGGCCCAGCTCAGGGCCCAGGCCAAGGCCGAAGCGGACAGCAAAAGGGCTGGTGGAAGTGCCGGAGAAGGCCCCGGGGCATCTCCGGGAGGCAGCCGAGCGGGAGGCTCGCCGGCTGTCTGGTCCCCCCCTGCCGCCTTCGACGAGATCCAGACTACCGCCCTCGAGGAGGAGCTCAGGCAGGCTGTTCAGGGCCCCGAGGAGGACTGGTTGCTGGACGCCCACGCCAACGCGCCCGCAGTAGAGGGGACTGGCGAGACGACACACCCAGCTGCCCTCGAACGATGGAACATCATCGAGAAGATCTTGGAGAGCGGGACCATCGCGACCCTGGGCGACATCAGCGACTACCTGCACTCACACGCCCTGGCCAGGCTCGCACGCGCCAGCTCAGAAGGCATCTCCCTGAGCTTGGAAGAGATACTGCTGGAGGCGACTCGTGACGGGGGGCCAACCCTCGCCGAGGAAGCCGGTCGGGCCCTCGACAAGCTGGGATCAAAGGCGGGGAGGAGCAGCACACAGGACCTCAGCATTGGAGGGGCCACCTGAGACGAGGAGGCTGGGGTAGGCCGCGGGAAGCTCACGGTGCAGGACCAAGAATGGGACTATCTCGACTTCCAGGATGAGCTCCAACCCGATGAAGAGATGCGAACCCGACTCGGCCTCAAGGAGGGTGACGCAGAGCTCAGGCAGTGCTTGGTACTCCACATCGCGGCCGCCCTGCTCTGGGAGGATAAGGGGCCTGATGCGCCGGCCGTGAAGGCCCTGGCTGCTCAGCTCCGCCGCGAGTTGTGGGATGGAGCCAGCACCGCCTCCGCCGCGTTGGGGGACGCCCCCACTTTCGTCTCACCACGTGAAGCCGAGCTCCGGATGCACTGCCACGATGTCCAGCACCCGCACCACGACAAGGACTTCAGGTGCATCGCGGTCTTCCCCCTGAGTGCCCTCAACACGACCACCGTCCGGGTCTGGAGGATCAATCACTGGAACCAGCTCGAGATCGACTCCGTCCTGCCGACGCAGACCAGCGAGAGGGAGGTCCACGTCATGATCCACCGAGGCCATATGCGGGTGCTCCGGCCGCCGGCCATCGGCAGCCAGAGCCCCAACAAGCGAGGCTGGGCGTTTGGGGAGATCCTCAAGACCTGGACACTCGCTGGGAAGCCCGTCCGCGAGCTGCTCACAGTAGGCTGGGAGATGTTTCTGGAGTCAGAGGAGGTCGCGGGGCCCGTGATACCTAGCCGGCCCCCTCCCTGCAT